AAAATATAGAAAAGCGAGCCCGCTAGCTTTTATCCACATTGTCTGAAAATTTTTCTCAGCATCGTGTTTTTATAAAATACTCGCTGGAGTTTTCGCCGGCTATTGGGCGAGAATGCTCGATAAACGAGGGCCTCGCTCCTTCTTCTTAAGGCGCGGTTCACTGTCAATTTTAAAAGTTTTTAAGACTTAATGTGTTATAAGACCCGTCGGACGACCTGCGTAAACACCCGAGAAAAAAACTTTCCGGTAGAATATAATATAATGTGTGGCCTTGGGCACTTCTAGAAATATCAATCTAGTTTTGTTCGAAGGGGACACCTCGCGAGCCCGTGTTTTCTGTCACGAAAAATGAGGGGAAAGGAAAATCAAATGAAAGCTTTTTTTTCATAATTATGATTACATGGGCTCGCGAAGTGTCCCCTTCGGAAAAAAATTTTCTGAAATTCCAGAAAGTGCGCTCCGCCGTGCATTTTTCCAAAATCTTTCTAAAACTCTTTTTTTTAGTGTTTTCCAAGTCGACACAGTAAATTTTTTTGTACTTGTTATTTTTTTCTCGGTTTCTACGCTCCATCTCACACGGGCTTTTACAAATTTCATATTGCGTCTTTAAATTCTGACAGTAAACCGCGCTTAAGCCGAAGGAGCGCGCAACATGTTTCCAGAGCATTTTTCAGTAATAACTTTCGAACAAGGCCTGTCAATATTATATTCAACATGATGCGAAGAAAAATTTCCATTCAATTTGATTCAAAAAAAGCTTGGTCCTGATTTTTAATTTTTCAACAAAATGAGAAAAATGCCTACGTATCGCTGAGTCGCCAAGCAGTTAGCATGCGACCCTACAGTAAGACAGAGCCCGCGAATGGAACCTTTTGAAAACACGTACAAAATAATTCACTGTGCTTGCTGCATTTTTCTTTCACAAATTTACACAATGTTTAAGTCATAATCCGCATGAATTTTTTCTATTCTACACATCTCAGTTCAATTTCTTTTTGGAACTTTTCGCAGTGAGTAGAATGTGCCGCTCACTAATCGTCGAGCTAGTGTCCTTGGCATCCTTGGTAGCATTCTCAATAATTTTCGTGTCCAAGAACATTCCCTGTAACAAAATCCATTGGCTAGGACGAAAAATTTTGATCTACCTGACAATCCTCCTCCCGCTTCGTCTCCTCAAACGACTTCACATCACCGGGTCCCAAAAGAAGACTCATCAGGAGGCCACGATTATGGCGACGGAAGTTTCCGACTGAAAATTGTGTTGTGGAAATCCGGACAAACAGAACTACAAAAACTTACAAGTATCCTCTGGTCCATCATCAAACGACTTATGTTTCGGGTAGGAGAACAAGACACGGAACCAGTTGATTCCATTCTTTTGCTTTTCCGCTTCCGATTTCCATTCTGTGAAAAAATAGTTGAAGATCGGGCGGGAATTCAAAAATCACTGACGCGTCCTTTTCAAGCAAGTGCGCTCCATAGAAATTTCGCGGCGATTCGAATTTTCGCTGCGCCGCATATGATTAAGGCGATACGTAGCTTAATATTTCGGAAAAAATTTGTTTTTATCGATTTTTGTAGTTTTTTCTCGGAAAACTAATTTTTTAATCGATTTTTCATCAATTTTTTAATTTTTTTTTTCGAAAAAAAAACAAACTTTTTTAAATTAACAATTTTGCCGATTTTTACGCTCATTATTATGTCTTGCGTGAAGAAAAATCCGGAATTTCATCAGAAAAGCCAATTTGAAACAATAGAAATTTTGAAATGCCTCCAAAACGCGTGATATTTGCATCGAAGCGCACTCGCTTGCTTACCAGCGAAATTGCGCGGCGGTTTAAATTTCCGCTGCGCCGCAAGACGATTTTTTAAACGATTTTTGTGATTTTTTTTATTTTTAGGCTTTTTATTCTGTTTTGCGTCAAAAAAAACCCGGAATTTCAACAGAAAAGCAAATTTAAAACCATAGAAATTTTGAATAACCTCCAAACCGCACGATACTCGCACTAGAGCGCGCTTGCCTACTCACCATTAAACTTAGCGGTCCAAGTCTTCGGAAGATATTGTGGTGACACCAAAAACTCCTTCATCATCGCCGCCTTCAACTTATCCCTCTTCTTCATCACGGCCTTCGTCTCCTCATCAATCGCACAATTATTCTTTTGCAAATAATCGATAATCTTGTCGAGTGCCGAATCCAAAACCGCCAACACCGACGCATCAAGCTTCTGCTTCCCGGAGAAGAATTTCGCGAGCACCTCATTCTCCTCAGCCGTCAAACACTTCTCAATCGCCGCGTGCTTCTTTGCCACTTTCAGAAGACGTGGCGCCAATTTCAGAATCTCTTTCTCGTCTGCATCCGACGTCATCTTTTCGAATTCGTCGTCATCCAACTTCTCGAAGGCGTCCCTTTGATTTTCGGCTATCGGAGCTGAGATTGTCTTCTTCTGCGAGTCAACCATCGATGGATTCGATGCGGTTGAGGTGAGGGGCACAGGGAGATCTTTGTTTTCGGTTTCTTTGGTGGATGAGTCGGTCTTGGAAGAGGGCGGAGCCTGGGAAGTGGACGGAGCCTGAGAAGAGGGCGGAGCCTGGGAAGTGGGTGGAGTCGTAGTGTCCGGAGATGGGAGGGTTGAAGGGAGAGCGGTGGCAGTCGTTTGAGGCTCATAGGATGGTAGGATCGCCTGAAAAAAAATGGACCTCCAGGTTCAGAGCCGCGTATCTCATTTGTCGTTGAAGCTATCAAAATGTGGTCAACTAATAAAATGTTTAAAATAATTTGCTTAACATTTCTTTAGTTGACCACTTTTTGATAGCTCCAAAGAGAACCGAGGTATGCTGCTCTGAACAGTGCACCTGAATAACAGGATTTACGGTAGGCTTGTGGCCTGAGAAGAGAAGAAAGCCGCAATATTCTCTATGCCCTCCTTCTGTCAGGTAGCTGTTGCACCCGTGGCCTAGCGGTTAGCGCTCTCGTTTTGGAAAATTTCAAGGCGAGTTCGAACCCCATTGGGGCCAAACTTTTTTTTCTTTTTCTAAAATTAGTCATAACGCTTCCGGTGACTGTTTCGCACTTCGTGCCGCGCCTCCGGCGCACCAGCAATTGAGTTGAACCCACCTCCCCCCCACAACGCTTCGGCGGTGGTCCGAAAAGCCGCAATATTCTCTATGCCCTCCGCTTGCTATATGGCTGTTGCACCCGCGGCCTAGTGGTTAGCGCTCCCGTTTATAAAATGTTCAACGTGGGTTCGAACCCCATGAGGGTCAAATCTTTTTTCTTTTTTTTTAATAGTCATGACGCTTCCGGTAACTGTTTCAGACTTCACGACGCGCCTCCGGCGCACCAGCAGCCGAGCTTACCTTATTCCCTTCTCCCTTCTGCGTGGTCTCCTCCACCTTCTGTGGCTCTGCAACTTTCACCTGCTCCGGCTCTTTTGGAACTTCTTCTGGTTTTTTCTCCTCAATCTTCTCCTCCGACTTCTTTTCGATCACCACTGCTTCATCCTTCTTCTTCTCCGCAACTATTGGCTCCTTACTTGACACCTTCGGTTTCACAGGGGTTTCAGGTTCTTTATTGGATTTCTCTGGAAAGTAAAGTTACTGTAGGATTGCGTTACTTGGTATTCAAGGCTGTCAAGATGCTGGTCGTGGCCTAGAAACCTCTAGGGGCCACTAGGTCGCCGTGACTCCGCCATTCCGACAGCCTTGGACCGAGCAACTAACCTGCCGACTTATTTTTCTTCGAAACGGTTGATTGATCAGTTCCAGATGAAGAAGTTGACGGGAGGGAACTGATTGTGGTTGGGACCTTCTTCTCCTTCTTGACCTTCTTCTTCTGGGGACCCGAGCTGATGGAGACATCGGATTTGGGGAGCTGGAAGTTGGGAATGAGTGATAGGGAACCCTGGTACTGGGCGGCGCTTAAAATATTTAATTTGAATATCTGCGAAATCGAGACTTAGCCCGGGGACAACAGGCAGAGCAAATGTTGGCTTAGTCCGGCCCGGCAGTGCTGTTAGAATGGCGGCTCTTGAGCTATAAGTCGGCCGCTGATAACTCAATCGGGCCGTCCATCTGACGAAATGCACGGTTCTACAGATAGATGCTCAATCGCTATAAAGCGATCAAGTGCTATATGCCAATTTTCCCAAATCTGTCTCTTATCTCTTGTGCTATGCATCAGGTGCTGTTTTGGCCGTTTTGCCTGGCTCTGGTGCTATGTTATAGCACATGAGATATGATTAATAGCACTTGATCCAATATCATAGCACTAGAGCTAAGAAAAAACGGCCAAAAAAGCACTTCATCCATAGCACATGAGACAATAGCATAAGAGTCAAACTTGGGAAAATTAGCAAATAGCACTTAATCACTTCATAGCACTTGAGTATTTGCTGCCCTTGAGCTATAAGTCGGCCGCGGATAACTCAATCGGGCCGTCCTTTTGACGAAATGCACGGCTCTTTGTGCTCTACAAAGCATACAGCGACATTTTACGCATTTCGCCCACCAACTTGCCGTTTGCTTGGCCAAGAACCCCTAAGATTTCTTATCAACCTAGCAGATGACTACGCGCTCCATTGATAACGCCGTCCAATCCATTGAGAAAGCTAGGCCAGCCATGAAGACGTGGCGGAAAGAATTGTGGCAAATAATCAACTGCTATGGTGGTGATCAGCTGACTGCTACTGTCTCAACTGCTATAACTGTCTCTTCTGCTATGGACCAACTGCTATTTTCGCCACTTCTGATGTCTCATGGCTATAGCAGTTGAGCCATAGCAGAAGAGCCAAATTTAGCAGTTGAGACACTAGCAAGCATAGCAGTTGATCACCACCATAGCAGTCGAGAAATAGCAGTTGAGTATCTACGCGAAATTGTCAATGGGGCGCACCTGCTGTCTCCTACCTTCTCATAAGGCTTCTTCGCCGTCGCCGCCTCATTCTTCTTCTTCTCCTTATTCTTCCTTCCACCCGTTCTTTTCTTCGCATTCTTCCAAACTGTCGGTTTCTCAGGTAACACATAAACCATAGGCTGCAATGGCCCCTCAATCTTCTCCATGATAGTCGGTGTCTCATCTGGATCATCTGCTTTCACAAAGATCCCCTTCTTCCGCATCTCCTGTCTCTTCGCCTGTTTCCTCTCTTCGGGTGTCAACACCTTCTTCTTCTCATCTGGTTTATTCTTCAGAAATTGTTTATATTGGTCCTGAACGACGCCAGCCGTCACTTTCTTTCCGAGATTTGATCCGAGCATTTTACGCTACTGTCTTCGAATTGATTTTTGTAGGGAATGAATTTGGAATTCTTGGAATTGGGAGGAAGCGGTGATAATAAGTGAAAGGGAAAAGGGGGAGTCACGTTATTTCAAGTATTTTTGTACGTACAATTTTTTTCTCGGTTTCTACGCTCCATCTCACACGGGCTTTTACAAATTTCATATTGCGCCATTAAGTTCTGACAGTAAGCCGCGCTTCAGCAAAAGGAGCGCGCACCATGTTTCCAGAGCACTTTTCAGTAATAACTTTCGATCAAGTTCTGTCCATATTATATTCAACATGATGCGATGAAAAATTTCTATTCAATTTCATTCAAAAAAAAAAGCTTAGGCCCTGATTTTTAATTTTTCAACAAAATGAGAAAAATGCCTACGAGTCGCCACGCAGTTGGTATGCGACCCTACAGTAAGACAGAGCCCGCGAATAAAACCTTTTGAAAACATGTACGAAAATTTCACTGTGGATAAATTTCTTAATTTTTTTTGTTAACGTTCATTGCTGCGCTCTTCAGCGGAGGTAAGTTTTCCATGTTGAATCCCATTATTAACTGTTGGGCACTGATGCACCTAAAAAAAACCACTGTCTTACAAAATAGGCCTGGAGAACAAAATTTGGACATATTTTTTCGATTTTCAAATTTCGCGGTGAACATCCGGGCTTTCGGGTTGGCTCGTCACAAATGAGATTCTCAACGATTCTGCAGACTCAACGTCAAATTTTGATAGCAGCAAAGACCATCTGGAGAGGAGTGTTAATACATCTTTATCCTTTTGTTCCTTTTGTTCATATGTCATCTGCTCAAAGCGATTCAAGTCTCTGTGCCTGATGGGTCGGGCCTGTTCCTTTGGGGTTTTTTGGGAGTATATAAGGAGGATGAAAGACCCCCTCATACCTCATTCTGTCTTATTGCTGACCACATTTGGTTTTTTGGTCGTCGTGTTTCTCACTTTTTGTTGTTTGTTGTGTCCTATTACGGCAGGTTCATTTGGATCTCAGGGAGTCCTGGGTCTTCAATTCTCTCGGTTTTTTTTCAATTTCTAGTCTGAATGTACTGTAACCTACTGTATCCAATTTACTGTAAGAAATTTTCTATCGACGTTCGAAAATTTCTATGGAATTCGTTTGATGGATATTAGAAAAATACAACTGGTTGAACCGTGCTCCATTGCGACCCTCCTCGTTGTGTATGCTATTTCGCTTCCTCGGACGGTTAGAGAAAGAGAAATACCGCTAGAGCGCGGAGGGTCGCAATGGGGCGCGGTTCAGCCTGTTGGATTTTCCTGATATAATATGAGTAAAATTTTATTAAAAAAAGGTTCTCAGTCCATCTTCAGGTTTGTCCTAAGATCTGGCTAACCCCCTGGTCCTCAGCGTCCCAGAGGAAATCTCTCGACACCTGGACCTCATGATCCCTTATGAAATCCTAAATCGTTTGTAGTGCTAATTGCCTATTATCCTCCTGTCATCAGTTCTTTTCACTTGCCAAATCATAATTACACATTTATCTTGATCCAACTGCAGTCCCTTTTGGGATCCTGCGGGTGGAGGACCCCTTCAGAGACTCACACACACAAATACACATCATCCTGCCTCGTCGTCTTCCTCTTTTCATGTGTTTTTTTCTCTTGTCGACGTATTCCTCAAATTAATCGATTTCCAGAACAGAGAATGTCTTCCATCTGCGGCCTCGCCTATAATCTTGGCGCTTCGGAGAAAATACGGCTTTGGGTCGGATGGGTGTGCGCTTACACTCTGGGTATTACCTTTTTCGTCAATGTTCACGTCAACTTCGGTCTTGAGGCTATGTTAGTCTTTGTGAGTTTTAATATTTTTTATTTCCCTTCCGTGGGTTTTAGTGGGGCATCTGGATTTAAGAAAACCTATTTTGATCCATTGAACTTTCTACAATGTCTTCTAGTGGACTCTTTTTCCCCATTTTTTTTGAAAATCATTCTTATATATAAAACGCCCGTGGAGTGTGTCCGTTTTTCCGGGATCTGTCCGGATGTCCGCAGAATGAGAATAAATAGGAAGTTCACGAGCAAAACTCGAACTTGGGACCTTTTGAACGATATTCACGTGTTTTCCCTACTGCGCTAAACCCATTTATAGAGCAAAAAGAAATAGATAAAAGAAAGCTCACGTGAGCACGCTGAATCAAATTGAAATTTTGTGAAAACCCATTATGAGCGGCGTAGCCGCGAACAGTCCAGACTGCAAATGCGCCGGAGGCGCATGGGCAGGCTGGTTTAATATGTTTCTATTGATTTCAAGCAATTTCGGGATTAAAAAAGAACAATTGTTCAATATTTATTTTTTTGTTCTAGAAGCAAGCACATTGAATTTTATTGTACGTGTTTTCAAAAGGTTTCATTCGCGGGCTCTGTCTTACTGTAGGGTCGCATGCAAACTGCGTGGCGACTCAGCGATACGTGGGCATTTTTCTCATTTTGTTGAAAAATTAAAAATCAGGGCCTATGCTTTTTTTGAATCGATTTGAATAGAATTTTTTCTTCGCATCATGTTAAATATAATATTGAAAGTATTTGATCGAAAGTTATTACTGAAAAGTGCTCTGGAAACATGGTGCGCGCTCCTTCGGCTTAAGCGCGGCTTACTGTCAGATTTTAGAGACGCAACATGAAATTTGTAAAGGTCCGTGTGAGATGGAGCGTAGAAACCGAGAAAAGAATTGTATGTGCAAAAAAATTTACCGTGTTAGGGGGCGTTCAAGACCGGCCAGCATAATTGATATATCATGTAAGCTCTAACCCTTGTTTCTTCCAGTGGACACCCCTATTCTTCTTTTCCATCTTTACCAAAGATGAAAATCTTGAAAAAATTATTCTGGAACACTCCGGTCAAATGGCTGCCCTGACTGGATTACTGATCCATATCGAACTGATGGGTTGGTTCGTTTCCCTCTTCTGTTTTTTGGGGTACTGGGCAATGTACTTGATGGATGAGAGAATCACCGAGTTGATGGAG